GGGGGCGCGGCTCTGCGAGCCACACCGGGCTCCAGAGTCGGCTTCGTGCTTCCCAAACTGCGAGACAGCAGCTGGGCGGATCTTTGTTCTTTTGACACAAAGCCGATGAACTTGCGCCCCTGCTTCGTGCAGGTGCTCCGGCTCTGCTGAAGGCGGGGGTTGGGGAAAATCTAACACGTGAAGTTGCTGTTTCCCAGGGCTGATCTGAAGTGCACAACACCCAAGGTATAAACGTACAATAGCACGTTTCTGCTATATCCAAACTAGGTTTCTTCCTTTTTTTTTTTTAATTTAAAGATTATTTATTCGAATCATTTGCTCCTTTTGGCGTCTTGGGCCACCATACCACGGTGATTATGTAAAAAGTTGTATGTGAAATGTTAAGCGCTTTATTAAAAATACGTATCTCTATGGAATTCACTACATAGACTTAGAAACTTCAGACAGCCTGTCTTATAACAAGGAATGTGCTTTCCTGATACATATTTATCAATGAAGGTACATAAGTACCTGATATCAACGGCAGTAGGTGTTATTTAGTTTGCGGGAAGGGAGAAATAATTGTATTTGAGCTCACTTTTGTGCCCAGCCCCACCCCAACCCCGGTGAGAACTTACGTCTGTTGTGTGCAGGACTCTCCACACAGCCTGTGGGAGTGAAGGACTTCACCAGACTCAAAGCAGTTCTTAGTCTATGCTTGAGAACATCGGGCTCCACAGTTTTTCTGCTGGGGAATAGAGCTAAAGTCAGTAACCCTGCCTCTCAAGAAACTCTTGGAGAGAACTGAGCAGTAATTTATTTAGCCTGTCTTACGCTTGGTCAAAAGTACTCTTGAAAACTCAAAAAGGTCTTTCTATAAATACAACAAATCGAAGACATCTATTTTAATTTGCATTACCAATTTTTATTTTGTGGGTTTCTGGCCTTGGTAGGCAACTAGCTATTTATATGCTGAAATTTTGCAAAGAGAAATGTGGTAGAAACTAAAATTCAGTCATTTTTTTCCTTCAGATTTTTGCTGTTAAAATGGTGGATTCCGTATTCATGCTGCTAAGTGGTCACCCTTCACAACTGAATGTACACAGAACCCTAATTTGCAACATGGCTGATTTCTCTCTGTTCACTGCAGGCCTCTGCCGGACAGGCTGCCAGTATTGATCAGCATCCCACGTGGTAGGTATTGGCTTCCTCTCTTCAGACTTAGTTAAGACACTCTCCCAGGTGGATCTAAGGCCAGCAACACCACCCTCCCTTACTCCACCTTTAGTCAGAAAAGGTCCTTTATTCTCTAAACTAAAATCTGCATTCTTTCTACATGCCTAGCGGCTTTTGTAACTGCACATGGAAGAGGAATTTGGCATGGCGTCCCTTGTTTTTCACCTCCAAGGACTGTTTCAGTTTCAGCCCAGTGCAAATGTGCAAGATAACAAAAGAGGCGATTAAAATATCATAGCCTGCCCCAGACATCGCGGTCAGTTTTAGCCCTGACTGGGCAACTCTAAAGGGATAGTGTGCATTTAAACCTGATTACAGGCAAGACTTAACGGAGAGAAAAGGAACTGAAATTGTCCCTCTCTCTCTTTTTTCTCCCTTTGCTTCCCCTCAACACCACAGTCTTTCTCATCCTGGCTCTGACTACACATGCTTTGGATTTTAAAAATGTACAAAAGTCCTAGCCAGCGAAGTTCCGGGAGGCACTGCTAGACAGCCCTCCCACCCCAGTCTCGCTCGTCATGTTTCTCTTGGTGATTCAAGGCCTTTTCAAACACCCCATTTTTGCCCATCATCCTTTTGTCACTACCTCAGCCCTCAGGCTTGTCAGCGTCCTGGTCTTCAGCACCTGTCATGTGGCTCATCTCCCAACTTGCTACATTTCCTTCCTTCAGCTCATTCCACCCACTCCGTCTTGGAAAACTTATCAGCCGGCTGCTCCGATCAGCCACTGTCAAGAGAAGGCAGGAGGGATTAAAGCAAGCTCCTGAATGCTTGGAGATGACAGAATGACATTGTCCTAGTTTGCTAGTGTTGCTGTAACAGGAATATCACAAGCAGGTGGCTTTAAAGAACGGAAATTTATTTTCTGACAGTTTGGAGGTTAGAAGTCCAAATTCAGAGAGTAGCTCTAGAAGAAGGTCCTACTTTGTGTCTTTCAACTTCTAGTAACTGGCAATCCTTAGAGTTCTTGGGCTTGTAGGTGCATCTGGCCGCGTTGTCGTCAGATAACGTCTGACGTTATCCTCCCCATTTGTGTTCGCTTGTCTCTGAGTCTAGGCTACTGCTTCTAACTCTGAAGCGATTAGGTTTATAACACACCCTATGTTGATATGGCCTCATTAACATAAAAGGGAAAGCCCTATTCCCAAATGGGATTACATCCACAGGTATTGTTGTTGTTATGTGCCACAGGTCCGTTCTGACTCAGCGATCCTACAGGACAGAGTAGAACTGCCCCAAAGCGTTTCCAGGGAGCAGCTGGTGAATTCAAACTGCTGACCTTTTGGTTAACAGGCAAGCTGTTAACTACTGTGCCATTCTGGAAACAGCAGTCAAGAAATCAAAAGACGCATTGCATTGGGCAAGTCGGCTACAGGAAATCTCTTTAAAGTAGTAAAAAGCAAAGATGTCACCTTGAGGACCAAGGTGTGCCTGACCCAAGCCATGCTGTTTTCAGTCACTTCATGTGCATGCAAAAGCTGGACAATGAATAAGGAAGACTGAAGAAGAATTGATGCCTTTGAATTATGGTGATGGCAAAGAATATTGAGTATACTATGGACTGCAAAAGAACAAACAAATCTGTCTTAGAAGAAGTATAGCCAAAATGCTCCTTAGAAGCAAGGATGGCGAAACTTCGTCTCACATGCTTTGGACATGTTATTAGGAGGGAGCAGTCCCTGGAGAAGGACATTATGCGTGGTAAAGTAGAGGGTCAGCAAAAGAGAAGAAGACTCAATGAGATGGATTGACACAGTGGCTACAACAGTGTGCTCAAACGTAACAACGATTGTGAGGATGGCGCAGGACTGGACAGTGTTTCGTTCTGTTGTACATAGAGTCGCTACGAGTTAGGACCGACTCGACGGCGCCTAACAACAACAATGACATCTGCTTTTTTCTTACATTCCCTGTACACCAAATCCTCTTCCTGAGACAAAGCATACTGTATCTGTTAGGATGCTTTCTGTGGCATGTAACAGAAGCTCCAACGCAAATTGGCTTAAACAATAAAGATTTGTTGTTTCATAAAATAAAAGTCCAAAGGTAGGACAGGGCCCAAGCATGGTATGTCAGAGCTCTGATTTTACATCTCTGAGATTCTCTTGGTTCTGTGTTGCAGTGTTCCTTAGGCTGGTACCAAGTTGGCCATACCGTTCTCGAGGATTCTGTGCAAACTCAGCAATGTCCAGCAGAAGATGGGGTGGCCTCTTTTTTGTGTTTCGTTTTCTTGGAATCCCTGCAGTTTCCAGTCTCTGACAAGGGAAATACTATGTTACCATGATTGCCTTTGACTAATGAGGATATTCCCTGGGGGAAGGATAGTCACTGGAATAAAACTGGAGCTCCACAAAGGGAAGAAGGGAGTGGAGAGAGTGACAGTTGGGTAAATAACTGAGAGAATCTGCTACATAAACAAAAAGTTAAAAATTACAAAATACAGACAACTATGTCTTCCATGAGCTGAGTGTTTTCAAGAACTCACTACACATAACTATGGATTCTTTCTTAGACTGGGATGGTGTTATGGATTGAATTGTGTCCCCCAAAAATGTATGTCAACTTGGCTAGGCCATGATTCCCAGTATTGTGTGATTATCCACCATTTTGCCTTCTGATGTAATTTTCCTAAGTATTGTAAATTATACCTCTATGATGTTAATGAGGCAGGATTATAGGCAGTTATGTTAATGAGGCAGGATTCAATCTACAAGATTAGGTTGTATCTTGAGTCAATCTCTTTTGAGATATAAAAGAGAGAAGCCAGCAGAGAGACAGAGGGACCTCATGCCAGCTAGAATGAAGAACCAGGAGGAAACTGCATCCTTTGGACCTGGGGTCCATGTGCTGAGAAGCTCCTAGACCAGGGGAAGATTGATCACAAGGACTTTCCCCCAGAGCCAACAGAGAGAGAAAGCCTTCCCCTGGAGCTGGCACCCTGAATTCAGACTTGTAGCCTACTAGGCTGTGAGAGAGTAAATTTCTGTTTGTTAAAGCCGTCCACTTGTGGTATTTCTGTTATGGCAGCACTGGATAACTAAGACAGATGGTGTGGTGAACTACAGATCTGTGCACCTCTCGCTCCTTGCATGGGTTCTGTGAGATAATAGGCACCTAGTACATGGTGTGTTTTTTTTTTAATAAATTAAATATAAAAATGCTGGTATGATACAGTTCCTTTTCAGTTTAAAAAATTGCCCATACAATGGAACAATCAGAACAGAAATACTGAGAATGTTTACGCATTGTGAAGAAAGAATGTAACCAATGCCACTGAACAATTTGTGTAGACATTGTTGGATGGGAACCTAAACTGCTGCGTAAACCTTCACTAAAAACACAATAAAATATTATTTTTTAAAAAATTACCCATAAGACTCTTCCTTCTCCCAACCATATTTTCTTAGTTTCTTTTGAAGTTATGATTCAGAAATATTCGCTAATTTAATAATACCCGTAAGGTGTGTAACTCTGGTCTAGGCACTTGACAAAAGTTTGATGAATAAATGTGTGTATTTCAGACTGAAGATTTTATTTCACCTCTCTAGGTGAGGTGTTAGGAGGAGTATAGTAATTCTCTCCCAGACACTCATACACACTCAAACAGTAATTATACACAGTGCGTAAAATTTAGAAAATGCAAGAAAAGTACAAAGATAAAAAAATGTGTGTATCCCACAACCTGAATAGATAGAAAGAGCTACAGTTAACATGTTTGTGACTTTTCTTTCTCTTTTGGGGGAGTAGGGTGGGGTGGGGTGGAGCCTGACAGGGATTTTTATTTTGGGGTTTGCCAACTTTCTAGGTCAATAGTTCAACCAACATCATAGTTTGTTGTTCTTAAATCAATGGGTTTTCATAAATTCATTGAGTGCACATATTCATCCATTCAGTCATTAGTCATCCACTACTCCAACGTCTGCTGCATCCTAGCCAGTGGTCCTCAAGTGTTTGTTGCACAGAAAGTGCTTTGGAGTTTCTCTTATAAATTGTGGTTTGCCCACATGCATTTCCCCGCACTTCTTCTTCAACCTCCACTAAAAGGACGACAAGGGAATAAAAAGGCCTTAACCTACAAAGAAAGGAGCTCTGGTGGCGCAGTGGTTAAGCTCTTGGCTGCTAACCAAAAGGTCGACAATTCACCAGCTACTCTGCGGGAGAAAGATGTGGCTGCCTGTTTCTGTAAAGATTACAGCCTTGGAAACCATATGGGGCAGTTCTACTCTGTCCTATAGGGTTGCTATGAGTCGAAATCAACTCAATGGCAATGGTTTTTTTTTTAACTTACAGGGACAAAGACAAAGGGAGGAGAGAGAGAGAGAATTCAAGATTTCAACAAGTGTTTGGAAAATAGAAGGAGTAGCAATTAATTTAGCAGAGAAGAAGTCAAAACCAAAACCAACAAACCAGCAAATCTGTCTTGGAAGAAGTAGAGCTAGAATGCTCCTTAGAAGGGAGGATGGCAGGACTTTGTATTAAGTACTTTGGACATGTTATTAAGAGAGACCAGTCCCTGGAGAAGGACATCACGCTTGGTAAAGTAGAGGGTCAGTGAAAAAGAGGAAGACCCTCAGTGAGGTGGATTGACACAGTGGCTGCAACAATGGGCTCAAACATAAGAACAATTGTGAGGACGGTGCAGGACTGGGCGATATTTTGTTCTGTTGGTCACTGTGAGTCAGAACCAACTCTACGGCACCTGACAACAACAACACATGGCAGGGAGAATGGAACACTGGGAAAAAATTAGTAGGTAGACGGAAAACAGAACAAATGAAAAAATAAGGCAACTATTAATTTCAGAAAAGAGGCAATGCATTGTTTGGTTCTGGGAACATCAGAGCCCTGGTGGTGCAGAGTGCTCAGCTGCTAACAGAAAGGTCAGCAGTTTGAACCCACCAGTGGCTCTGGGACAGAAAATACCTGGTGATGTGCTCCTGTGATGATAATAGCCTGGGAAACTTCATGCGGCAGTTCCACTCGGTCATATTGGGTTGCTAAGAGTTGGAGTCAACTCAACGGCACATGACAACAATAATAATGAAACACTGGCTACTAATTTAACAAAAAATTATGACACATCGGGGTTGAGGGAAAAAAGTGGAGTCGGGATAGGAAAGGGAAATTCTAGTCTCTATCCGCTCTGACGGGAACAGACAGTCAATAGACAAAGACTAAAATTGGAAAAACAAGAAACAGTGACATAAGCATATAATTTTTAATGATACAGAGGAAATTTTGGTGGAAATAGAAAATATGAGGGTGGTTACCTCTAGGGCTGGGACTGGATGTAGGGAAGGGCTTATAATAATAATAACAACAAGAAACTTATTATTACTATAAGACAATAGTATTTTAATTTTAAAATTACACACATGATTATGTCTATACATGTGTGTGAATGTGTTTGTATATCTATTTATTTTCCTTTTATAAAAAAACAAAGTTTAGTTTTAAATAGTCTTATCTGTGGATATTGTTAAAAATTCTATTTCTAGGTCTTACCTTGTGACATTCCAGCCTGGTAACTCTGAAGTGAAACTCAGGAATCTGAACTTTTAACAAACACCTCAAGAAATTTGGATACATATGGTCCATGGACTATACTTTGAGAAACATCACTCAGATCCTCTAAAATTATATACAAAGTATTGTAAGAATGTACATTTTTTTGGTGAGAGCCCATAATTTTTAGATTCTTTTTGATGCCCCAAACCTAAAAAAAAGTTTTAAAATTACTCTGATATGCCTGCCTTCTCGTCCTTCCTTTCTTCCTTCTTTCCAGGAATTATTGAGATCCATTAATTATTTAAGGTCAAAAGCAAAGCTAATTATTGTTGTAGTGAGTTAAACATTTTATATAACTATATGAGACAGGCTAGAAAGCATTGGCTAAATACTCAGTCCATTGCTTAGAATATTGCTAAAGTGAATACTAGTGCAATACTACTGCAGTGTATTGTGTATAAATCTAGTGACTTGAAAGTTAATGTGTGTCCATTGGAACCTACCAGTGAAGTTGACCGACCCTGTAGTTAAATTTTATTCAGTTGAAAAAAATGTTCATATGTGGTCATTCAAGGGTATCTTTGATAGTATTAATGTCAGATGAATAGTGCCAGAGTCCAACAAGAAAAGTGTAATGCAGGTATTTTGACAATCTTGTACCTTTATTCAACATCTTAATAATTCTATGATGCAAGCCAGACTTCCCCAAACTTGTTTAGCCTTTCAACCTTTAAAAATTGTTTTTGTCTTTATAAAACATCAGAGAAGTTCATGAGATGAGATTTGGATTAAAGTAAACAGCAAAATGTGATTTCAGATTAATTGCTGGAAAGAATTAAATTTTCTTTCATATTTTTTTTAAAACCTATACACTAAGAAGTTAAAAAAAAATAACTTTTTTTTTAGTGAGAATAAAAAGTATTAAACATTTTAAAAGAAGATACATCACATAGACCAGAAAAAGCCAGTGGCTAGCAAGTTCATATTTGTTGTATGAACAATAAAATATAGCATGGCCATTCTTAATTGTTTAAACTGCCTGTACACTAATTCACATATCAAATGTTATGCATTCAAATATCAATTCATCTCTGAAGTGATACAATGGCATTCTGAGGTGTGACACACTATTTCTTAAAAATTATAGCAAAGGAGGTGGTCCAAGATGGCAGCATAGTCAGATGCCTCATAATGTGCTTCTTACAACAAAGACTCCAGAAAATAGCTGGATCACATACAGATGACAACTTTAGAACCCTGAACATCAAAGGCAAGGCAGAAGACTCAGACTGAGTGCCAAGTGGAAGGAGAGACTGCATAATAAAAGTGGACACAGAGAATTACGGAGTGCTGGCACTCTGCCAGCTAAACCTGCACAGTGCAGCCATACCTGTTGCCAGTGAGTTCATTCCAACTCATAGTGACCCTATAGGACAGAGTAGAACTGCCCCGTAGAGTTTCCAAGGAGCAGCTGGTGGATTCAAACTGCCAATGTCTGCTTCTCTGCCTGGTTGCCAGCTCGGGGGGCCCAGGGACTGGCAGCACACCCTCTTCTGCCTAGCCAGCTGTACTCGGGGGCCTGCAGCACCTGCTCCTATGCTCAGCCTCCCACATCAGGGGCCCACGGACTGGCGGTGCCTGCTGCTCCACCCAGCCACTGGCGCAGGGAGCCCGTGAACTGGGGGCACACCCTCCTTAGCATAGTGTTCTAGTGGACAGGGGCACAACCTCCTAGTGGGCACCTGTGGACTGGCGACATCCCCCTTGGCTCGCCCCCTGCCTGGTCCCCCTTACAGCTAGAGGCTTGTGCCCACTCTGACCACCCCTGTGCAGCCCTGCCTGCCCAAGACTGTTGTTGAGAGTTTCCGTACCACCTACTTGGTGACCAATGACCCAGGTACCCTTGCCCCAACCAGCCGGCAACCAGCAGTGGACACACACAACACCCAATTCAACAACTAGTGAGAGTGCTCCCTGCATCCATGCCCAGGTGACTGGCCACACGGACACATAAACTCACCAGCAATGCCAGCTACATCCTCAGCCGCCCTGCAAGACCAGTGAACAGACACCTGTGCTC